GAAAGGGAATTCATACTTGAAGACTTCCAAAAGCCAAGGAGCCAGACAGCAAGCAGAGGCAAAGAATTACTTCAGAAACATCCAGCTACATCTCAGTGAGGAAGCCCATAGTCTTCTGAAACTGATAGAGCCTTGGATGGTCCACATCTCAATGCTTTTTCCTCTCTGTGGCTTTAGTGAGCTGAGGGCAAACAGAGCCTGCAGTACAACTTTCCCAGTTTGTTGATTAACCTTAAGAACAATTTACAGCATGGTAACTGGTAGTGCTAGATATGGAATCTTGGTGTTATGGAGGGCAAATGGCAGTTTTATGGGAGACATTAAAGTAGGCAATTTTTCATGCAACAATATTGGGTAGGAAATATTGCTCTCTGTTTTTCTAGACAGAATAGACATAAGATCATCCAAATGCTTTTCTAAATGAGTTCTGGCAAATTTATCTACAGTAACATGCCTTCCCAGCCTTTGGTGCACAGCTCACAAGCTAATGTAACAATTACAATTATGATACCAATCAGACCTATCAGGCCTTTTTAAGACATGAAAATCAGACTGCTTCTCTAGTTTCAAACACAATGAGTTCAAATATGTGATGTAAATGCTAACAGAAAGATATCAAAATGAGAGGCATGTTAGGTCTGTGCCAGCCAAGCCTCTACAGTTATCTTAACAAGTTCATATTCTTCAGGCATTGTTTGTATTTCCATCGTGGCAAGAGATTTTATTCTTTAGTTTGAGGATTCTCCCTGGAGGGAGGAAGGGAAACACTGCTCTTGTTGTGAAAAAGAAACATTTCTTTTTGACATACTAAGCATTAAGCGGATTATGTAAAGGCAAAGCATATTGCAGAAGATGTTCTCAATATAGTTTTGACCATGAACTCATGACCCTCCACAAAATTTAGGACAGTTGGGGGGGGGGGGGGAAAAACAAACAAACCCACAACATATTGCTTTGACAATCCTTTCATTTGAAAAAATCTTATAAAAATTCCTGGAATTCATCCACTGCAATTTACATAAAACTCAACCTTTCCTGCTTAAAATCATGAATCATTTAATGTCACATCTGCAGGGTATCCGAGACAGATGCCATTAATCCAAGTCATTTTGCAAATTCCAATTTCATTTGGATTAAAACCTACAACGAAGTCAGTGAATAGTATATACTATACATGCATTAAGGCTGGTGACTACTGAAGTCTCTTGGGTAGATAAACTAAGCACAGATTAGCCAGGTCTAAGTGCATGTCTTCATCTAGGGAAAAAAAGATATCCTGACATTTCAGTGATGTCGATTTGAATCAGTAGCCGTGAAAAATGGTTGAACGTTTGTATTACAAAAGAGATACGATGACACAGTCCCAAAGGTGCATTGCTTATAAATTAATTAGCTGCACAAATTATTTTGATAACAGTTACTGCAGTTCTGAGGTGATATGGCTGCTCAGTGATGAGTAGTTGATGATCAATGGTAGGCACTAGTAATATCCTTCATGCTGAGTGACTTTAATTACTATTTAGATTTACAGTATATACATATGTGTTTGTATCTACACTTAGGGCTTGATCTTCTTAACCTTCTTTACCTAAAGTCTTCACTGAAGCATCTTAACCTTCTTTACCTAAGGTCTTCTCTTCACTGAAGCATCTTCCTTGCCCTGTGATATTTGGCTAAAAGAAATAGGCAAATGAGCTGGGGAATCCTGCCATGTGATGGCAGGGCTGTGCTTGGCTTTTAGCCACACCCGGACTTCTGCACGTGTCCTTCATTCATGTCACTATGGAATAATGTAAACGATTAAGGTCAAGGATTTGTATTATCTTGCTGTCTTTCAGGATCCTGTATGGTGCTTTGCACTTCTTGTATCCACCTTCACTATGTGGGTCACTTAAATGTACTCCCGTTGCTTTATCAGCTTTTACTTATTCAGAAGCCTCGGTTTGTAAGCAAACCTCTCCCTCCATGTGTAATTCTTCTGGATTCATACAGGCTGATGTCTTGCTTGCACCAAATGAAGCTGCACACTGCTGTATGCTAAGAAACCTGCATGTTAATGGGCTTTTACGGCTGTCTAAAGCGAGTAAGCATCTTTCACTGAACCCCAAAGGATGGTATCTATTGGTCTCATCTAGAACAAAGAAAGTACCTTTGAGTCATGGTGGAATATCTGCAACTGCTCTGGTTCTTAATGTGGAGCGTATGCTTAATTGGACCAGACCTAAAGGCCACACGCACCTCTCTCCAGTTCAGGCCCTAAGAAGATGAAATGAAGTATTTGTTGTCACCACGTCACATTCAGCTCCAGCCATCTAAACTGCTGCAACTATTACGCAGCAAAAAGTCTGCACAGAAGAGTATTGCAAATCTCTTCACCAAAAAAAAGCTGTATAGGTGTGAGAAACCCCTCAGAAAAAGGCCAAAAACTCTAATCCATGTATATGACCAATTGGTTTAAATGGCTGCTATTTCTTCCCTTTTTGCCACCCGAGGTTAAGGCTCAGTGTGCCCATCAGGCCACACAGATGATGCCAGCACACAACCTAAAAACCAGTGTGTTTTTCCAAAGAAGCAATGGGTATTTTGGCTGGAATAATCAAATGTGAGAACAATGTACAAGAAATGACAGTCATCTGCAAGAAATCCTTAGTGCTTGGAAACGTTACAACAGGACAGCATAATTCTTGCATTTCTTTGAAGTTGCTTGACATATTACATCCATACAAAGAGTTCATTGTGATTAGGAAATATACCCCTAGTAAAATAAACATGCTTCAAAGTTCCATACTTGAAACTCAAATGCCACATGAGCAATAAAACTAAACTCCATTTAAGGCAAGTAATTTATGTCACGTCTAAAATTTCTCAACATTAAATAGCAATAAGGGCTCCCAAACCCCCAAATTATCTGAAGATAAACATCATAGGCACCATCAAAGAAAACAGAAGCAAATCTAATTGGAATTTCACTAATTGGAAATCCAATTAGTGAATCCAATCCTAATTGGAAATTCCACAGTACCTTCGTATGATGTTGAAGCAGCTGACAGAATCCACTGCTGCCGGTCTGGTACATCATGGTAGACGCCCACCGCTGGAAATCAGGCAAGTAATAAACAGAAAGGCACTAACCATGTTCTCCGTGATACTTGGGACCAAACAACTTGTGTTCCTGCTGAGCTGGGGAACAGCTGGAACTAAGAGTGACGAAGGACTTGGAGGATGTGCGCTTTATCATTTAAAGGCAGGCCCACGTTCACTCTTAAAGCCAGCCACACTGTAATATTCAAATCCGTGTTAAGAGGTTACCACAGCCTGATCTTAGGAGTTCTCCTGGGGAGGAAGGATCCAAGCACCAATCGGCACATAAGATTGGCTTGGAGATGAGCAGTCCTTATGTAGTTACCCTGGTGAGATGCATCAAAGAACAGGGTGATGCTCTGAGTCTGAGCAATAGCCAGCCCTATTGTAAGCAGCCTAGATAAAAAAAAATATGCCGGTATTGGAGCTCTGCATGCTGTTCAGCCTGCTCTTGAACACAGGGTAATACAGCCTTTCCTTCCAGAGATGTTTTACTGAGAAAACATGCTACTTCGTTTGGTATCTTTTCCTTTTTTAAATGCATCTTTTCAAAATCAGAGAGGAAAAAAAAGGCAGCGAGAACCAATCAATCAACCCTCCATATCAGTGGTTACTTCTACTTGCATCATCTACTGAAAGAGATTTTTGTACTCACATTTCCTTAACATACTTGTGAATTAAATTAGGAAACAACAATCAAAGGGTCAGTCAGTGACTTGGACAAGAACAGTCTACTGAAGTCACCAGAGCTGCTGACTTGAGTAAGGGCTACAAATCTAATTGCAAAGCAAGCAAAAAATTATATTTCCATTACAGAAGAAGAAAAATAAATGTGTCAAAACCATTGAAAATGAACACAAATGCGCTAAGGGCAAACACAGTTGGTATGAACTGGCCTTGACCTCAGCTGACCCAAATTAAACTCCAATCACTGTGGGATTAATTCTTCTGGCATGAAAAACACAGCCTGTCAACAGGAATGGAAAACATCCCACAAATCAAGAAACATTAAAGCCTAGTTGAGGATTATGCATGAAGAGTGAGAGGATTATGATAGGAAACAGTTCTTAGCCTGATGAGCAGAAAACTCTGCTTCCCAGAGAAAGGAAATTGCATGTAGTGTTCCTGTGCAGCCTAGAAGAATGTGCTGCAAGCTTCTGCTAGGTGAAAAAGATATGAAAATCAGAATCTATAAGATGAAGCCTTCCCATGCAAAGCCAACAATTGTTATGGATATCTGTCTGTCTGCATGTAGCTGAAATTAACACATTTTCTTTAGTGAGTGGATTGCAGTTTGCCATTTTTTTTTTTTCATTTATCTGTTTACTGCTGGTAACAGAATGCAGTTTCCCACCATCTCCTTTAAAGTTCATGCAATCAGCATATCTGTTTTCAGGCTTTTTGCCTGTTATTGTAGGTTATATTGTTGGTGTGGAGCCGAACAAGTGGTCAAGTGATTTAAAAAGACAGGAGATAAAGAAATGCAAGCAATCTGTCAAAACTTATCTCACATTGAAGGAATGCTGTCTTTCTCCATCTTAATGCAGACTACGCATCTCCTCTGTGTGCCCCAGCAGGGCAGCTACAGGGAGATAGAATATAAATATTGGAACTTGTGTGAAGTGTCCACGCTTGCAGTAAGTTCTCTGTTGCTGAGACTTGCCCTCATTCATTCAGTTCAGGAAAACCCTTGTATATGTGCTTAAGCTCTACTGAAGTAAATGGGATTTCAGCACAAGCTTAAAAGGTAAGAGTCTATTGAGAGCTTTCCTGAATAGGGATTTGTGCTTATTGCACTTGGTTCAATCACCCCTTGAGATTTTGGTTTCTGAATTTTTCAGCACACGGATAGAAAGGGTATGTTTTGTGCATTCAGATCAGTTCTTTCTAGTATTTCTAGTGTATGAAAATTTTCTGGAGAGTGGTACAGAACAATTTATTCTGAAGAGAAATCATTGTATATTGTACATATGCACAGATACATATCTACTCTCAGAAAACATCTTCTCAACATTGAAGAAATATTCACCTTTGCTTGGATCAATGCTGTGGTTGACTATTTCTGTAGCACAGTGTCCAGAATAACTGAATTATCCATGAAAGGTTATATAGTCCAAATGAATGGCACACAGTCATTATGACAAGTGAGTGCTATTCCGCACCCAGTGAAGTCCTTGTTGGGTGTACTGAACTAAATGCTCCATACTGCTGTGCAAGGTGATAGGTCCCATCAATGCATCCAAGTCGTTAAAAAATTCTACAGGGAGGGAAAAAAATAAAAAGATTTCAGCATCAGAAGAGTGAAGCTGTATTTGCTATTTGTCACCCTTTAATAGGTTTTATTCTTTTGCAAATTGAGTCAAGCTGAACATTTCATGGGAATGAAAGTTTAGTGCTAGTGAGATTAATTTTAAAGCCCCATGGTTCATGATGTTACAGGCTGATACGTAACAATTTTCTTTTGAAAGAACAAAACAGTGAGTCCTTCAGCTTTGCCTTTCGTTAATTTCCACTGAGTCTTGATAAAACAAACAGATGCTGGGCAAGATTTATATTAAGGACAAGTGAATCTAAAAGCCTATACATAAGTGTCTATCTCTACATATGCCAGATATCTAAACTGCCTTGATAGACAAATAGAGGCATATATACAACCTGACCATCCCAATCTAAAGAGTAATCCACCTAAATAGTCAATAGCTACTTAATTACATCCTTACAGGCATATAATGTCCATTTGAGATGTCCTTAGGCAGTTGATACATATATAGCTGACCTAACACAGGACATACAGGAGACTTCTGGAGCAGCAGTACAGGAAAGGACACCTCAAAGGGCATTGGGTAGCTACAGTTAGGCAACTGAACTGGATCCTGGTGTCATCTTCAAGGTGAACTGAGCAGCCCTCTGAACTCTGCTGTTTGTATTGAACAAAGTTCCATCCACTGCAATGAGAGATTAACCCAACAGCTCACATACAAACACCTACATTTAAGTGTCCTAATTTTGATTTGAATCCTGATCACATCCCTGCCTTAAATACAGTGAAACCAGTTTAACTGGGAAAACCTTACCCCGAATAGGGAGTGAGGGTGCCTTGTTCCTATCTGTCTCTCCTTGGGAGTGGAGGTTGGATGGGTTCTCATTTCTTTTGCAGAAATGAAGTGTACTCCTGATATGTGACATGGTCTGGCTAGAAGCATCTCATCCAGCTCCGTGACTCTGGGAGCAGAAGTCTGCCTTGCCCCTTCTCAAACCTCTCTCTCCAGAATGACACAAATGGCAGTGAATACTGCCCGCAGATACATCTGTGACCTGTGATCTGTCTGTCACCAGCAATGTACAGAAAAAATTAGTGATATAAAGATGCTTCCAAATGAGACAGCTGTCAAAAATTGCATTTTTTGGGTAATTTTGGGACAGACTAGAAAAAGACTGAAGAAAAAAAGAACCTCTGCAGCCCTACTCTGCTGACAGGATTCCTGTCAAAGCATTTTTTTGCTGATCAAAACATGTGATGTTCTTATAGATGGCCCATATCCTTGAATCACCCACCTCTATTTTCCTTGGCCAGGTTGTCAGCCATCTCCCAGTAGTCATAGCTGTGCAGGATGCTGTTGGTGATGCTGACGTGGTTGGCGGCCATCTGATGGATGCGCTGGGGGATGCTGATTATAGGAGATGAGGAAGGGGGCCCTGTGCTCCCCTGGGATCCGACAGAACTGACTGGAGAAGGGCTAGGGGACATGGGCGATGGAGTTCCTGTGCTCCTGAAATCAGATGTTGACACCATGGCTTCAAAGAGTGTTTGGTTTAAAACATGGAAGTTTCAGAACATACAGCAGGTAAGAAAATGTAACACCTGACAGTCAATATGTTCTAAGTTTCTGTGCAACAGGTAAACTTACTTTCCACTGTTACCCCAAGAAGATGGGTTCTGGGCGGCTTTTGATGAATTCTGTAAAGGAAAAATAATTAACAATGCACACAATTAATGTAAAAATACGAAATGAGGAGCAGCAGACAATATAAAAGTAAAGGAATATAAAGAAAAAATTGTGCAGACAGAGGTATTCGAATCTCTTGATGCAATTAACCCAGAGAGCCTGGTTTGGAATTGTGATGAAGCGGTGCTGTAGCACAGACTCAAATCACATTCCATTACACATCCTGAGATGGGGGCTGGCTAGGAAAACACGCTCGCTGATGCTCAACCTTCTCACAAAAACCCTGGGAGTTCAGAAGGAAGTGCTAGGACTCTTTGTCAGGTTTAGGCTGGAATTTCTTGTGATAGAGAAAACCAGAACACAAGAAAGCCGTGAGCAATCCTACAGAACATTCAATCATGTAATGTCTGATTTCCACCAATCATGGAACTTCAACCTGAATTTTTTTTTCCTTTTAATAAAAGATAGCTAGGCATACAGAAGGCCTAAGTCACTATCATCCTTGCTCTCTTTTGTCCTACTCTACTGTTTAGCAGGCCTCTAAGTTAGGAAAATAGGTCCTATTTCAAGATTTCAAGACTCAACTTTCTTAACTTCAGTGTTTCAGAGTTTTGTTGGTCCTGTGCCAGCAAAACTGCACGTCATCTGGCATTATCAGTGATGTTTCCATACACAGTGATCACATTAACTTAATGGTTTTCTGTAAGATGGGCACACTGCTTGAGCCTCTCCTAAAAAAAACCAACTTGTTTTCCCACCTTTGATGCATCCTCTGCATTCCTTCAAGTGTTTCCACACACCAGAACTGCATTTTGACACCTGGCCTTCTGTATTATTGCTATGAAAAAGTAGCCCAGGAGTGTCCCACACTGGGCTTTTCCTTCAGTGGGTTTCTTTTGTTTTTTTTTTGTTTTGTTTTTTTGGTGTATGTGTATTCAGAACTACTGGCCTTCCTCTTTCTAGTGCAACAGAAACTGAGCATGTGTTATTTACTTACAGAGCTGGAGGCAGGAAATTGAGAAAACTGAAATGGAATCAAGGATACTTCCACTGTAAATTTAAGTAGCCTCTGCCTTACTGTACAGCTTCCCACACCTTTTTTCTCATGTTGGCTATTTATTTTTTTTTAAATTCTCTGCTACATTACTTTTTTTTTTTTATATAATGGAAATAAAATACTTAAAAGGAGATTTAATAAGTTTTCTTTTCTTGTTTAAAATAGAAGTACGTCCGATTTTCCCTGAAAATATGTGTGAAATAGTTTAAAGCCATTCTCTGATTGATAATATATGTGGAAGCTCTTAATGCAGTCAGTATTTCATGTCACTTGGTTTTGAAAGCTTTTAGATACCAAATATGAAATGAGTGGAGAATTGGCTTGTTTTCCACTGAAAATTATGGCAAATGGATTTTTTTTCCTATTTTTACTTTCAAAGGTGAGAATACTTACTAATGTGAAACTGCACTATCATTCTATCAGCAGGAGCTTTGCAGAAAACAAGCTCATCTTGTCTGTAACAGAGTGTAAGTCCATTTTATGTTTGCTGTGAAACAGTTTCTGTCTGCGAGTAAGAGACATTTTACATGGTTGAGAGCCTGACCATGCTGTTCTTAATGCAAGCATTCTCTGAATTGGTGAAGAAAAAGAAAGTGTTATAATTGGCACATATTTCTTTCCCCTGAAATCAAGTCATTGTTAGAGAAACATAAGATGTTGAATTATATATTGCTAAATTTTTAGAAGCAATTACAGTGACTTCAATTTCAGTGTGACAATAACAGATCTGTCAATTTCCTTCAATGTGTTCATGTGTTTAAAATCTGGTCATGAATGCTTGTGGTTGTATTTGAAATTTTTTATTAACAAAATGTCAAAGGATGGATGTTTTTCATTTCAAGGTACGTTCTTCTGTTAAAAAGAAAAAAAGAAAGAGAAAAAAAAAAAGGAGCCTCATGTTTAAAGACAAATGGCTGTTCCAGTTCCCAAAACAGTTTGTCTTGAAACAGTTTGTGTTAAAGCATTTATATGTACATATTTATTTAATTAGAAAGATAGAGGCTATTTTTCTTTCCATGTAGATTAAATGCTGGATGGACTGACTGCTAGGAGGGCTCCACCATAAAGATTCTGTCCTTGAGATACTTTCAGAAAAAGGCTGCCTGTCAAATAAAATAGATTAAAATGCTTTGAATGACTTCCTGTTTTATTCAAAACAACCAGGCTGTAGACCAGGCAGGACCTGGAGATAGCAAACAGTAGCACACAAAGTAAAGCAGGAAGGGGAAGCCAGTTGTGCTCTGTCAACTACATGGCAAGTGGCTTGGTTGCCCTCTGGTGCTTTTGTACAACTCCCATTGAAGTCAGCGTGGGCTCTTTGCTAGTTCCTCGGGTGAGAACATGTCCCACTGCACTGCCTTACCTACCCAAGCTTCTAAGGGGAAGTCCTGCAGCTGAGGACTGATACAGATCAAAGTCTTCAACTCACAGGAAGTCTAGTGGGAAGTGTAATCCTGGAGGTGATTCTTGGAGCAAAATCTCCAAAATCTACCTACAACAGAGCAGGTTAGCACTAGATAACTGATTGAGTAACCTGAAAATGCCTGTTAGTACAATAAATTTCTTAGCCTTCCTGAAGGGACATGACTTGTATATTGCAAAGAGGGTCCCTTGTGAAGGCAAAATAAGTAACCAGTGATTAAGTGTTGCTATGGCAGTCTGTAACAATGTTCCTACCGACTTAGTGGGACAAGAACTAACCCCAGCACAGCTATTGTTTTTATTAAAATGTATTTACTGTAACAACACACTGATTTTAGAACATGTGAAAAAAAAAGTACCTTGAAATACTCAATAAGCGCTTTAGAATACTTGACAGCATGGTCTCTCTTGAGTCGGAACATCCTCCAGTACAGAAGGGCCAGGCAGCGGTAACTGCAATAAAAGGGAGAGCAGCAGGTGAAGTGTGCCTCCAGACAGTATTCTCTATGAATTATCTTAAATTCTTCAACTCATGTGCAGTGGAAGACTGGCAGCACTTTGCTTACTACTAAGCTCTTACTACTTACTACTTGTTCTGTTCATTTTACTTATCACAGAATCTTATCATACAATGGCTGAGGTTGGAAGGGACCTTAAAGATCAAGCTCCAATCCCTGCCCTGAGGGGTATAGCTTCCCCCCACCAGCTCAGGCTGCCCAGAGCCCCATCCAACCTGGCCTTGAGCGCTGCCAGGGATGGGGCACGACAGGTTCTCTGGGCAGCTGTGCCAGCGCCTCACCGCCCTCTGAGTGACGAATTTCATCCTGATATCTAATCTAAATCTTCCCTCTTTTGGTTTAAACCATTCCTCCTTGCTCAATCACTATTAGATCATGTAAAAAGTTGGTCTCCCTCCTGTTTGTAAGCTCCCTTCAAGGTTCCCCCAGAGCCTTCTCCTCCCCAGGCTGGACAAGCCCAGCTTGCTGAGCCTGTCTTCATAGGAGAAGTGCTCCAGCACTCTGATCATTTTTGTGGCCCTCCTCTGGACTCGCTCCAACAGCTCCGTATCCAAACATGGTTAGATGCCACAAAGTAGGTGACAGTGCCCTAACCGTATGCGTGCTGTACTGAGCCACTTCCATCCTTATGAAGAAGACTGCTAATGATCTTTCACACTTTGCAGTGGATTCATGAGCAAGGCTAGGTTAGGTGCTGCGGCCATGGCAGTCTGTGAAGAGAGCCACAGAGCAGGCTGTGATCGGAAGGGTTTGTGCACCTTGGTTCCCAGGTTTTAGCCCTGAATTTGATGCACTTATGCTTCGACAAAGGAGAAGTCATTATTAGCCTGGAACCCCCAAAAGATTTAATCTTTAAATTCATTTCTCGTTGCAAATGCAACAGCAGCCTTTCGGGGTGCCTCATCCCGCTACTGCACTCCAGCAACCTGCAGCCTACATAACAAACTAGCCATTCTGCCTCTATCTCCCGTGTGCCTTTCCCAGCAGACTTAGGCAGCCACGCGTAGCCTCTTGTCCGCCCGGGACCCACGCAGCTCCCGAGGCTGCAAGCTGTCCGCGGGGAAGCGCTACGCCGGCCCCCTCAGCCCGCAGCCGGCGAGTTGCGGCCGCCCGCCGCTGGAGGACAGCCTCGGCTCGGCAGACGGGCAGCGGCTGGCAGGCAGCGGGCGGGAGGGAGCGGCCCGCCGCCCCTCACCGCTTCCCCCTCCTCACCCCCCCCTTCGTTTCTTTTTTAGCCGCTTTTCAGTAATTCCCCACCTAAGCATTTTTAAAGCAATTCCCGTGCCCCGCGCTCCTCCCGACCGAGCCAGCAGACTGGCGACAAAGGAAGGGCGTTTAAAAGGAGCGCGCACCTCTGAATACTTGGTTCTTTCTACACAAATGATTAATTAGGACTCTTTTATTTATGGAGGATGAAGATGCATTCAGTTTGGGTTTTTAACAGATGGTTAATAGATGTTAAAAACACACTTGCTGATTGTAAATGTCCACTTACTGAGAATCAGTAACCATGTAATAGGTATTTGATGTATTAACTACATAGATATTAAATTAAAATTTGATTTTAACAGCGTTTAAACATTTTACTAGCCATCAGCAGCCACCCTACAGAATGTAAGGTGCGTGTGTATATCCTGAAATCTCTGTTTGGGAGGGAATCCAAGAGGCTTAATTATCGCCATCACCGTATCTCTCTTCACGTAATGTAAATGGAATTTACGATTATAGAGCCTAAATGTCAGCCACAAAGAAATTGCCAAACTATTGGTGCAAAAGTACATTGCTCATAAAAACAGCAAACCATCGGGCATTTAAAAATTAATTATGCTGATGTACGATAGCTGACCTGTCACAGTCAATAAGTATGAATTGCTTATTTACAGAGACAGAACGCAGACCTGTTGCAGTGATATGAGGGCTGGACCTTCCCAGAGCTGAAAGTATGCTCTTTCTTTCAACAGACAACATAATCCTATCTGGCCGCGTCCAGCGTCTGATTTTCAAGAACTGTCTCCCTGTAGAAAAGGAGCCTTTTGAGGAAATGGTGATCTACTAACCATAGTGCTGCCAACTGCTTGTCTTCTGGCGTGGCATTGGGGCCTGAGTGGGTTTTTAGTCTCACTGCGTACCTTAAGCAAAAGGAAAGAAGCCCATGTGAGTAAACCGACACAGCTTTATTTTACTGATCAGCTCCTACAAGAGCTATGCTGACCAATGTAATTTGAGCTGGCCCGTTATACGCATTTGCTCAAGTTACCAAACATACATGTCCTTTTCTGGTTGTGTTTTGGAACTATTTTGCCATTAACGGTGCCTCCCTGCACTCCTTATACAGCAGTAACTCCCCCACCATAGATCAGTGCAGAGGGAAGCCCAGCTGGCAAGGTGCTGCTTCCTGGCTTGCTGTGCTGCCCTACTGAAATAACCTCCGCCGTCGGGGAGCCCAGTTACACAGAGTTCACGCAGGGAGGTTTTTGCAGTGCTTGAAGGCAGGTGACAGCCTGTCTTGAAGCTGGTGCTGCCCTCACCCTGCCAATTCCGAGCGTGTCTACCCGGATTTGAGCCTCCGAGCAGAGCACGGCACAGGGGGAACTTGTAGCTCAGAGCTATTTTTGCACATATGACATTACGCTCAAATCCTATAAATATTAAACATCCACAGTGGTAACACTGCTGTTTCAAGAGTGTATGTGCTGTGCAATCATAAATTAGTTTCTGGAAATCTCGGCTTCCAGCTGAATATCTGAACAATGGACAAGGTTAGGACAACACAGCACTTCTGGGCTCGCTTCCAGAAAAATACCTGCTCCCCATAATTAGCTGCCTGTGGTTTTTCTTATCTTTGTTTTCAAACTTTAATCCTGATACATGTGCAAAGATTCAGTATGAACGTTTTGTTTTAACAGGTGTACCTAGTAAACCTAGCATATTTTTCTAAGCTGCAGCAAGTGAGATCAACAGTAATTCACACTACTCCACAACCACAGCTACATACATTATTGAAAGCTATGAATCTGCAAGCAAAATTCATTTCCACAGTTAGGACCATATATTTGCTATCATGATAAAAGACAGGGCAGACAAAGGAAGAGCTCTCTGCCTGTGATGGTGCAAGTATTGAAAAAAAGAAGGAAGAGATGCAGAGATGCAGTATTCTACTCTCCTACTGAAAAAAAAATATTTTACTTTGTTTAATAATCTTCCAGTTAGAAAGCTGGCCTCAATCCACTGAAATGCATGAGAAGACAGCCCTAAGTGGAATAAAATGCCAATGGAATTGTTAATGTTGGTGAGAAAATGATTGCATCAACACTCCAAAAAAGAGCTCCAAAAGAACGCAATTGTTTGAGGAGCTTTGCTTCATTATGAATATGATTAAAAATGAAATGTTTTAATTACTATGACCTTAGTGCTGATGAGACCTGCATGGTTGACTGTCCTAAGGAATTATGCCATCGTCACTGACAGTGCAGCTTTCTCTGCTAGTGTGCTGGACTTTCTCTTGCAGAGAGTTACTCAGATGCTGGGATGAGTTTGACCTATTTTTCTTGTCCAGCACTTAATATTAACTATTAGTACAAATTACAATAGAGGAAAGGACTTAGAAAAAAGAAACTCTCCTTGTAGGAACTGTGGGTAGGACTGTACCTGGATTATCTTGTTTGGATAGCCATGTAGCTGGGTAAATGTAGGGATCTGTTTAAGTGTGAGCTGGACTGTTTTCAGGAGTCCACTAGCATCCGTAGGAGAACACACACTAATGGGCCTCAAATGCCCATTTTTCTATGGCTGTTCACATCTTTCAGGTAACAATTATACTGTAGACTTAAACATGTTACAGCATTTGCAAATGATCATTCCATGAGTGTGTTCTGGTATTAGGTAGCAGTTTTTTTCCCTTTTGAGGAGCGCTTGACTTACACCTTGAACCTCTTTAAGTAATTTGCAACTCTGGTAATATTAAAAGCTTTGTTTATTCTGCATTCTACACCATTGCCTAATTTAATTTCCAGTGAAATCACAGATAATCCATTTGTGTTACATATGACTGTCGAGGCACCTGGCAAGTCCTCACTTCTCTAGAAAATAATGCGATAAAGTAGATGAGCATATTTGCATGAACAGAGTAACCCCTGTGGTTGTCTCCTCCCTTCCTACCTGATGAGTTCAACTGTTTCTGAATACATTGTATAGGGGGATTTAGATTCCATTGGGCCTTGTTCCATTGCATTTCCACACTCAATAAACGATAGTGCTGCTTCTGCATAATTCAGTGCCTTTCCAAACTTTTCCACCTAGAGGGAAAAAATAAGGACACATAGAAATAATGTAGTCATCAAGATATGGTTACATTTGATGGGATTTTCTCAATGTGAGATTTTCTCAGTGTGACTTATAAACTTGATGCAAGTCAGTATATCTTCAGATTCATAAATTTTCCTATGAGAAAGCTAAAGCTCATCAAACCTTGTGCATCAGTGAAAATCGTAAAACAGAAAGCAGAGCTGAAAAAGGCTAAGAGATGTTATTTGGTCCACGCTCTTGTGTCAAAAGAAGGATCAACTCTGCCTAAGAGGTTCCTAACAGATGTCTGTAAAAGATCTTCAGTGCTGGAAATCCCATGAACTCAACATCAGGCCTTTTGCCTCAGCTATCAAGTGTCCTTACCATTAAAAGTGGTTTCACACATTGCAGATGCAGTCTTTCACCAGTCAACAAAGGAAGGCAACGATTGTCTTGAACTAAGAGAATAGGAGTTAAATATTTTGACTACTCTTATTCAAAGGCTCATCTCCATTCTCACTTCTTTTTCATTCCTACCATTTTCAGCACTGCGTGGCCTCTTGTCAGGATTTTGCCTTCTATATCCTCCTCCTCCTTTACGGAGTACTCTACTCTCCCAGCTTTTCATGCCATCCTTCTTCCTCACTCAGTTTGTTCTCTTACTTTCTGAACTTCTTTGACTCCACGTGTTTGAGTGCTTAAACATATACATATGCACATATATGTCCTCAATAATAGTGTGTATGCACATGTGCACATTATGTTCGTATGTGTACGCTTAGATACCACTTATCTGGTCTCAGAATTTCATTTTTGATGTGGGTAGAGATGAATCATACTATTATCTCTCCGTCCTGACTTGTCTTTCCTTCAATCAGAACTCCTGCGGTACATAAAGCCCATTAATGGACTGGATGCATTTGGTTGAAATCTGATGCACGCAGTGAAAGGTTAATGGACCTTATTCTTTTCTAAGGGATAAAGATTTTAAATAGTAACTTTGGAATGGCACACTGGCTTCAATCTATTTTAGGTTCTTATATGACTCCCATTGCGATCATACCGGAGAATTTCACAAACTTTTTATTATATTTCTCTCCCTGACGCTCTTCTGCAGGTGGAAGTGCTATTATCCCAATTTCACAGATGGGGAACTAAGGAGCAGAGAGACTTAGAGTCATTTTCAGGCTGCTCACTCTAAGTGCTTATATTAGGTATTGCAGTGCCAAAATAGGAGGTATCGAGCCCAGCAAGGTGATGCAAAGTGCTCCCATTTCCCTCCAGGATCCCTACACACTCAAGGAAGGGGGAAGTACTTGTGATGAGTGATTCAGTATCAGTAAGGAGCTGGTCCACTGCGAAGGAAGACTGAATGTGAAGGATATTTCTATCACCTAGTGCTGATGGGAGGCTATTTAAGCCATGCCTAAGTGACTTTCATGTAGGAAATTTGTGTCAGAGCGGAGTATAACACTTGCACGTCCTATTTCTGGGAGTCTACCATAAAAACATTTTTCCTCAGGCTAAGACAGAATTTCCTTTGCACATTAAGTGATTTTTTTTTCATTTTGTTTAAAGCAACACACTAAAATGCACCATTTGTACTTTTCCACAATATTTTCTGATTTAAGACTCTCTTTAATATGGAACTGAATAAACCATGGAAATTTGTGCTAATAAACACAGCTGGAGTGTAAAACTGTGTGTTAGTGTCCTAAATTAAGGGCCTGCTACGGCTTCCTTGGCCATTTTACACTCGGCACAGCTAAGAAAAAGAGGTCAAGAAAGAGAAACTGTGAGATACTTGTCTTCTTTCCTGCTCATGTGACCACAATGTGTCTATCAAGCAGGGCAAGGCAGGGACTGCAGCTACTTCTACTTGCAAGACAGCCATGCTGAGTCCCACTCCATAGATTGCCCCTACTGTCCCAGAGGCTGGCATTTTAAAGCTGTGCTGGCTTATTCACTGTGCCGGACTAAAACAGGCTAGGAGAAAGGTAAGAGATGGCTAAGTGGAGCTTTCCTGGAGCACCATGTGCTTCATTGCACCCTTCTGTTTGGGAAGATGGGGATCCCTTCAAGCACTCCATAAGGCCCCAGGTTCCCCTTTCTCAAGAAGGTCTTACTGGCTATTTTTCTAGGCACGTCAGAGCTGGAGACAAGAACGTGTTTGTTGCAACACCCCTCTGTGTGAAACATGTTCCTGCAGGGTTGTGTGCTGCTGGTTGTCTTACAAAGGGATTGTCATGAAGGGAAGATTCTTTTGGTACTGGAGAGCCAAAACTTTTCAAAAAAAGGGTAGATTCCCTGAACACCAGACCAACCTGGACTATTATTACAGGGCCCAGCCAGCTTGTTAAACTGAGAAGAAAGGTATGTGGATGCACATAGTATAGCATGTAACCACACAGTCTCTATTACTACAGTTGCTAATTAAAGCATAGGGATAAATGGAAATTTTTATTTATCCAGGCCTTTATCTCAGTAAGTCATTATTTGTTAAGTCATAGTTTATTGGGCTATGAACATTTGATTATATAAACATTTCTTAATTTAACAAGCCTAGCCATCCTTATAATAGATTTTATAATTACCCCAGCAATACCGCACTGATGAAGAAACTGCATTACAAAAATAATTTGGAGCAACATAACTGGAAAGAAAATATTCTCACCATCGCATCTGCTTTATGTTTCTTCCGTTTAGCTTCCTGCATAAAGTAATCTGCATTGCGTGGCCTACCAGGGGAAAATAAGAAGACACTTTATTATTTTCTGAAGCAGAATATTTTCAGGTTATTTTTCCCCTATTCTAAACCTGATTTGCAAACATTTTTTATGAAGAAAATACACTTATCATGTAACCATGCATCTTATATTTTCAAATTGCTGCCTGTGGAGACAATAGCATTTATGGCTGTTCTCATTCTTTAGAAGTCAGTGATTCAAAGCAAAAAAAGCTAATAAAATGCATTTTTATGGATTGTATAAACTGCTTCCCAAATTAGTGCAGTTTTGATCTACCAAATGGATGCAAGCATTAAGCGGAACAAGTTATTCCATTTTCTCCTCTCCCTTGTGTTTGCTTACCTCATTTTCTACTCCTCCCTGTTCACTGTCATTTGCCTTGGCTTCTCCTTCCTTACAAAACAAGCGTGTTTAATCTCTCCACTTCAAAAATGCACACTGAACCTGCTTGCCTCCACCTCATCCCCCTTCGCCTTATCTGTAAGCACACTGAGAGTGCTGTTTGCTTTTGCTGCCAGGAGTTCATCTGTGACACGGTGCTAGGCTGCCAGCTGCATGCCACTGGCATTACTTGTGTCAAATTCTCCATTGATTTCTCCTCAAATAGATCTCAGAGACTCCATTCCATCCTTAACCTACCTGACCTAATGACTGCAAGGCACAAATTCAGTTGCAGTCTCTGTGCTGAAATTCACAAGACCATTTCTGATCCACACTAATCCACTTCTATTCAAACTGAAAACACGAAGTGCTGTCCCCCTGGCAGTGCCTGGTGACCAATTCACTGAGCCCTCATGGCTGAAACAGATTTCTTCATCTTCTCCCTATTGCACTTTTCTCAATGGAGGGAAGCCATCTGCCATGTCATTTTAGTGCGTAACACAGTATCTGCAATTCTCAAAAAAGTCTTCCTATGTCCTGACCATGGAGATTCCCCCAGTCTCATATGTGTGAGACATGGCCTTCCTCCTTCTACTCAGCTAAAACTGAGTCCCGGCTCATCTCAGCACATACTGAAGTTACCGCTGTATCCTTGTCACTCTCAGAAGTTTCTCCTTGAAAAATTGTTCCCTTAGAATTCCTTCAAGTCATCCTTTAGACATTTTCTAATGAAAAAGGGATATTGCTGAGTATTCAGAAAATGAATAACAATATTCTTGCCATTCTTGATTTTAAATGCATGGCTTTGTGAAAAATAGGGTATTATGGTATTACTGCAGCGTAGCAATCCTAATATATAAATATATTTTAATTTGGATTTCTCAGAATGTTTGTTAAAAAAATGTATGAGTCAGAGAAGATATAGATCTAAAAACTGAAGTCAATGTATGAGACAAAAACTCTTGCTGACAGCGGTAAGAACACTTTCAGGTCCACAGTTTCAAGGAAATTTAATTATATCACAGAAGGTTAGTCATAACTCTTATTTTGAAGGCTAAATATCATCAGAGAGAAATAAAATTTGCAGCCTGAGTAATTTTGAATGACATCTGTCCTAAAAAGTTTGATGATGTGCTGAAAAATAGTTCATTTGTTCCATCTTTAAAATGTTCTTCTCCCTCAGAGTGGGATTTTTTCCCAACTCCCCAGAAGAAAGAGGACTAAAGACAGATTTCTGTCCCAGCATCACATAATTGACTGCAGCTGCCAATACTTTCTGTAGCCAGCAAGATGCTAACATTTTCTTAACAACACAAACCATCTGGATTGGTTTTGGTAAGTTATAGAATCATAGAATTGTAGAATCACAAGATTGGAAAGGAGCTACAAGATCATTTAGTCCAACCATCCTCCCATTACCACTGCTACCACAAGCTACTAAAGCATATCTGGTAGCTGCTCATCCAGACGCCTGTTGAACACAGCCAGGGCCGGTGACTCCACCACCTCTCTGGGCAGCCATTCCAGTGCCTGACCACTCTGAGAGAAAAAGTTTTTCCTCATGTCTAATCTAAATCTCCCCTGGCACAACTTGTGGCCAATTCCTTGGGTCCAGTTTGCTTCCTGGGAGAAGAGGCCAAACCCCTCCTCCTTCCAACTTCTCTTCAGGAGGATGAAGAGTGCAATGAGGTCTCCCCTGAGCCTCCTCTTCTCCAGACTGAACAATCCCAGCTCCCTCAGCCGCTCCTCATAAGGTTTGTGCTCCAGACCCCTCACCAGTTTTGTTGCCCTTCTCTGGACACGTTCCAGGGCCTCAACATGTTTCTTGCAGTGAGGGGCCCAAAACTAAACACAGTACTCAAGCACTTATGAAGTATTAGACACTGAAAGAGTGTTAGCTGGATGGGGAAAGCTATGTTTTCAGAACCATTGAAAGACCTTTTAAAATCTCTATGTTCTGTCTATCTTATTCTTGTGCAATAACCTAGGTAAGACTGTTTACTCTGAAGTGACAAAAAAACAAAACAAAGCAGAGCATATCAGCAATGCAGTGGTCTCAGCTCTCTGAAATGATCAAAGCGATGATACTATTACATGATGATATTACATGATCCTTTCAAACTCTGGTCATTAAAATATGTTCTTTGCAATATACCCTTCCATGTGACACCCAAAACCATCTGTATAATTTGCTTGTTTGAAGCACGGAAAGAAGCTGTAAAAACCAAGCGAGATAACACAATGTAATTATGGTCTACTCATAAATAAGACAATTGTAGAATGTTTTTCAACTTGTAGCAAGATTTATGCTCCAGAGTTATGCTCAGCAGCTGAGAGCATCAGCGGGAGGCATGTTCATGACTGAACCAAGAGGGCCCTGCTATGGGGTAGCTAACCAGAATGCAGTGTGTGAAAATCAAAGTCATCAGTGTCTATTGAAGCCAGCTGTTTCGGAGGAAAAAGCCTAGTATAGAGATGAAACTATTAAAATATAATTGTTAAGCAGAGTATATATAGCCACAATGTGGATGTCTAGGTACTTTCATAGGAAAAATACAAGATTGATATACAGATCTGAGGGTGCCTAACAGAAATTAAGACTTGTTAGGGAAAAAATACATTGATTGTGTTTTTTTCCAATATTTGTTCAAAAACAATACACATGCCACGTCAAATTCTGATCTGTTAATGCTATCTATGCAATACTGTTCTTCCATGGATCACTACATGTTAATAATCTTTCAATTCGGATTACAAATGTACATGCTAATGAAATTGAAAGTTGAGAAGTTCTGTAGATGTAATGTATGTTTGTGTACGTGGTACAGATTGTTTACATCACTTTAGAAACAAAATAATGATGTACTTGAATTTATTTTTTGGTGGGTTTTTTTGTTTGTTTTTTGTTTTTTAATGAGAAAGGAAAGATTCAAATTCAGTTTTGTTTAGGTTTCCTAGATTCCACTGCTGTACATGGAAAGCTTTTAAGTCCTTTCACATCCAGTATACTAATTTAAATTATTATGCCACAAAGTGAAAAAACAGACAATGGGTTGGTAGAAAAGAAGACAGTAGGCTACCTCAGCTCATGAACATATGAAGACATATGAGAAAGCTGAAGCATAAATTAATTACTCAGAATTGCATACTGTGTATTTCACATCTACGACGTTCATAAAATATTCTATTAATCACAGTCTGATCTTACAGACCTGTAAGTTACAGTGACTGAGAACACGTATCTCTTACTAACTTCGTGGTTCATCCAAATTTCATCTGGAACTTGGCCCCTTTAATGAAACTGGTGAAAACCTCAGATTGGAGAATTTGCAGGTAATCTCACTGCATCGTAATTTCAAATACTGTATGTTCTTGTTGAGAGGCATCTCGAAGAGAAAAAAGTCTGTTTCCTCACACAAGAAATTCAGAAAGGTCTGTAGATGAACTCCTTTTCAAGTCATAGGTGTAAGGTTTGCGATCCTTTTGCAGATTGCAGCCTTGCTACAGCCTGAAAAGCCTGGAAATAAGGAAAATCTCTACAAATCGGTACCAGGCTACTGGTGGAACTGGATAGGATGTAAGTGGTATAAGAAACAGCAGAGTCTCTTTGTTTGGCTACAAATGTCACAATCATGAGTGTAAACTGAAGTCTCATGGAAAGATATTCCCTGATTTCAAGTTTTCAGACAATTGAGTCAGATTCTCCTATGTTATTTGCAAGTGTCTGTATCGAGTGCAGTCAGCACTGTCACTCCAGATTTACAGACAGGATTCAGGCCTCTTTTTTTTGTAAAAAAATATATAAAAAGAAGTTTGACTTCAAATTAACAGGTACAAACAAGTGTTTTATCTCTATTAATAATCTTGACTGCACAAGGAACTCTTTTGTTTCTGAATATCTGATTGTTGGTACTTGTAGAAATATGGTCCTCTTCAACAAAGCCAAAAAAGAGTTCTAATACACTGCTCTAATGCCTCTCATATATCTCTCTGAAAGGCAAGAGAAAGAGTGTAAAGCATCAGTGCCAACTAAGTCAGGCTGCCGGTGAATTCTCCCCGGGATCGAGTGTCAGTATGTGAAACTGGCTGCTCTCGAGGAGAATTTACCCTACTCTGTTGATTGGGGAAGGCAATCAAGTACTGCTGGAACCAGTTCAACGCATTCTCAGTCAACACTAGGCAGTCACCTAGGCAGTGCAACAGAATCCAGCCTTTTACAGAATAAACCCCCATGGCTAGATCTGATAGTACAAACAAGGCCAGGCTTCCTTTTGAACAGTGGTATTCAAACCATTTATGACTTTGACAAGGGCAGCCTCAGTAGCATGTCTGTGGCTGAAGCCAGGACGAGATTTATCAAACAATCTGCTACTGTCCAGAATTCCTCTCACTGGCACTGCCACCACTTTCTCTGGGAGCTTGTCGAAAACCAGCAGGAAATACAGCATTTCCATAGCTAGTTGTGTTGCACAGGATCCCAGCGTGAGGTGAGATGGCTGCAGGCATGGTAATTACTCCCCTTCCAAAAGCAGCCTTTTAGAATTTCCAGGCTGTTGAGCTCCTAAGAGTGGTGTTTACCCAGGTAAAATGCTTGAGTGTGTATGTTTCTC